TGACATGTGGATAGACCGCGGGTAATTGGGGCAACACTGGAAATGAACCAACGGGACGAGGTCCTCCTTCGAGCGAAGCGCGAACACATCCCCACAAATCCCGTTCGAATTCGCCTGGAGCCCTACTATGTTTCAGTTCGTCCTGCAGAGCGTGGCGGGCTTTCCCCATCTTGAAGAAGAGCAAGCGATGCCGACGAGAAAGTGCGACGCACCCTACGCTGCCACAGGTCATCCTGGTCCCTGGGATTATGCGCGGTGTTTGTTTCACTCAGCTTCCGAACGTGATCCGAGAAATCGCTTGCTATCGCTGGAGACGGGAAATCCAGGGTGACCTTCTTCTGCGGATCACATGCACGCACACGAATGAGTTCGCCCGCCTGTTCAGTCGCACGCTTGGAGATGATATCCTGTGCCATACGCTCGAGAGAAATTACCAAAAACCTGTCCTTAAACCCGAAGCCGCATAGCCTGTGGGCATATTCCACCTGAGCATTCTCGAGCCCCCAGAGGTGCTGCCGTCCCCAGCCGATTCCAACGCATGACGCTTCGAAGCTGTCGCTGGGACCGACTGGGGTGCAGGCGACAACATTATGGTGAACAAGCTCGAGAGCATCCAACCTCGCCTGAAACAGACCAGTCTTCACACATACCGACTCCACCTTGTCCGACATCGCACGCAACTTTCGACCTTGGGCTGTCACCGTCGTGCTGATCGCGGAGAGCTTCTGATCGGGCAACGCACTTGTGGACGAGAGGTGCTCTGCTAGCAACTGCTTGGTCGAAGCGATATGGCAGCATCAAGCAGCAAGGAAAAGGCGGAGCACGCAAACTGCACTGGAATCGAACGGCCGGAGGAGGCCCCCGTGGCCGGGAACTCGAGAGGCCCTCGGCTGCGTCCAAGCTCGAAACACCAGGCCAAGCGATTCGGGCTTGAGCCCAAGTGACTACGGATGATGATGTTGGTGATGATGATGATGTTGTTGATGTTGGTGATGATGATGAATGTGATGGTGGGCCGCCGCCGCCTCCTCCTCGTCCTGCTCCTCGTAGTCGTCGTCGTCGTCGTCTTCCTCCGCCTCCTCCTCCTGCACCTCCTCCTCCTCCTCCTCCTCCTCCTATTCCTTTTCCTCCTCCTCCTCCGCCTTATCCTCCTCCTCCTCCTCCTCGTCCGCCCCCTCCTCCTCCTCCTCCTCCTCCTCCTCCTCCTCCTCCTCATCATCATCATCCCCTCATCTTGCCTCATCCCTGTCGCCCTCGTCCTCGTCCTCGTCCTTCCTCTCGCCCTCGTCTTCGTCCTCGTCGTCGTCCTCGTCCTCCTCCATTCTTTTTCCTTATCAATAACTTTTTCCTGTCGCATCCCGAGGCCCGTTTTTAGGGCGGGCCGGACGTTTCGCCCGAGACTTCTTCACCATGTATGATTCGGAGCCTTGAAAATTGGCAACAGTTTCACACATGGAGGGCGGTTGGTTTTCAAAATGTGTCTCTCGCCTCAACGGCGCGCACTGTCGTTTAAGACATGTGCAACTCGTTGTAGACATTGCAAGAGCTTCACGGATTGAGGTGGGCTCGTTTTCAAAATGTGGCTCTCGCCACAGCACCACGCACACTCGTTTAAGAAATTTGCAAGGGCTTCAAGGATTGAGGGCGGGTGGTTTTCAAAATGTGGCTCTCGCCTTAGCGCCGCGCGCACTCGTTAAAGATATTTCAAGAGCTTCACGGATTGAGGGGTACCCGTTTTCGAAATGTGGCTCTCGCCTTAGCGCCGCGCACATTCGTTTTAGACATTTGCAAAACCTTCACGGGTTGAGGTCGGCTCCTTTTTCAAAATGTGGCTCCCGCCTTCGCGCCGCGCATATTCGTTTTCAACATTTGCAGAAACAAATCACGGGTTCCCAGTGTCAAAATACCATACATGGTGTTTTGGAACGGTTCAGGATTGAGGGTGCGACAGTTACGTTCGCCCGCGGTGTTGAAGTCCTGAGAGCGGCGTTCTGGCGCGATTCAGGATCGTCAAAACGCAACAGTCAGGTTGATCCGTGGCGCTGGGATCCCGAGAACAATGTTTTGGTATGAATCAGGGTCTTCAAACAGTTGTGTCCCAACGAGGCAGTTTCCTCAATGGAAATGAACCGCTGTAGGAGCCTGTGAAGGAGCTTGGAGGGAGGGTGTATTCCAACATCGTTGATGGCTCTTGGGTTTACAATGCTCCTCCTCCTCCTCCTCCTCCTCCTCCTCCTCCTCCTCCTCCTCTCCCTCCCCCTCCCCCTCCTCCTCCTCCGCCTTCTCCTCCTCCTCCTCCTCCTCCTCCTCCTCCTCCTCCTCCTCCTCCTCCTCCCCCTCCCCCTCCTACCTCTCGCCCTCATCCTCGTCCTCGTCTTTCCTCTCGCCCTCGTCCTCGTCCTCGTCTTCGACCCTCCTCCTCCTCCTCCTCCTCCTCCCCCTCCTCCTCCCCTCCTCCCCTCCTCATCCTCCTCCTCTCCTCCTCTCTCCTCCTCCACCACTCCTCCTCCTCCTCTCCTCCTCCTCCTCCTTCCTCCTCCTCCTTCCTCCTCCCCCCCTCCTCCCTCCTCATTCATCTCGCCCTCGTCCTCGTCCTCGTCCTCCTCTTGCCTCGTCCTCCTCGTCTTCGTCGTCCTCCTCCTCCTCCTCCTTCTCCTCTCTCTCCTCTCCTCTCCTCCTCTCTCCTCATCTCCCCTCCTCCTCCTCCTCCTCCTCTCCTCCTCCTCCTCCTCCTCCTCATTATCATCATCATCATCGTCCCCTCGTCCTCCTCGTCTTTCCCCTTCCCACCTCCTCCGCCCTCATCCCCGTCCCCCTTTCTCCCTCCCTCCCTCCCTCCTTCCTCCTCTCCTCCTCGTCCTCGCCCTCTCCTCCTCCTCCTCCTTCTCCGTCTTGTTCTCCTCCTCCTCCACCTCTCTCCTCTCCTCCTCCTCCTACTCCTCTTCCTCCTCCTCCTCCTCCTCCTCCTCCTCCTCTTCCTCCTCTTCCTCCTCCTCATCCATTCCTTTATAAATAACTTTTCCCTGTCGCATCCCGAGGCCAGATTTTAGGGCGGGCTGGGCGCTTCGCCCGAGACTTCCTCAGCATGTGTGATTCTGAACCTTAAAAAGTGACAACAGCTTCACGGATGGAGGGCGTTTGGCTTTCAAAATGTGTCTCTCGCCCCAGCACCGCGCACAGTCGTTTAAGACATTTGCAAGAGCTTCAAGGATTGAGGGCGGATGGTTTTCAACATGTGGCTTTCGCCTTAGCGCCGCGCACACTCTTTTTAGACATTGCAAGAGCTTCACGGATTGAAGGGGGCTCGTTTTCGAAATGTGGCTCTCGCCTCAGCGCCGCGCGCATTCGTTTTAGACACTTGCAAGAGCTTCACGGATTGAGGGCGGTTCCTTTTTCAAAATGTGGCTCCCGCCTTGGCGCCGCGCATATTCGTTTTCAACATTTGCAAATAGTTCACGGATTTCATGGATCAGAATACCAGACATGGTGTTTTGGAAGGGCTCAGGATTATGAGGGTGTAGCAGTTACGTTCGTTCGCGGTGTCGAAGTCCCGAGAGCGGCGTTCTGGCGCGATTCAGGATCGTCAAAACGTGATCCGTGGCGCTGGAATCCCGAGAACCATGTTCTGGCATGATTCAGTGTCTTCGAACAGTTGTGTCCCAACGAGGCAGTTCCCTCAATGAAAAAGAACCGTTGGGCCTGTGAAGAGGGAGCTTGGAGGGAGGGTGTATTCCAACATCGTTGATGGCTTTTGGGTTTACACTGGCCCTCCTCCTCCTCCTCCTCCTCCTCCTCCTCCTCCTCCTCCTCCTCCTCCTCCTCCTCCTCCTCCCTCTCGCCCTGGTCATCGTCCCTCCATGCCCTCCGTTTCGCAGTTTCCTCCTCCTCCTCCTCGTTCTCCTCCTCCACGCTCAAATTGTTCAGCAATGTGTCTCCCTGTTCGGCACGGCGTTCCAGGCGGAGTCAGTGAACGTGGTCATCCAGGGGAATGTTCTGGTCGGTATGCGCGTGTTCCGGCCAGCTGCTCTGACTTGCTCGTCGTGTCTGCCTTCATCTCGCAAAGCATTGAGGTCGGGCGAGGCGCGGTCTTGTGATGGCGGAATCCCTCGAATCCCTCTCCCTCCCTGCTAACGGCGACGCCCCCCTGGACAAAAACTGTCACGGGTAGCTCCGCTCTGAACCAGCAGCGTGCAGTGCAATTCCGTAGCTTTTCGGTCCGAGCCTGTAGTCGAGCAGGCCCTAAAGCAGAGTCCCACCACGCAGCCGGTGCGAGGCCGACCGAAAGAAAAAACGAACCCGCCGATCCTCTCCTGCCCCAGTATCGGAATCCCTGTCCCTCCCTCCCTCCCTCCCTCCCTCCCTCCCCCCTTCACTCTCTCCTCTTCCCTCCTGCGGCTGCACGCAACAGTGACGCTGGGTAAGAGTGACCTTCGGTGCAATGCTTTTTGGGGGCCACAGGGGGGGCCAAACCCAAACGAGCAAGACGGCACTGCCGCCTCGCCTCGGGCGATCGGGGGATCCCAGTGGGCCTTCACCAGAGGTCACTCCGGCGAAGGGCCTCTCTTACGTGTCGCCGACTCACCAGACTTCCCTCTGCTCCAATCTTTTCGATGCGTAGGCCCTGGAGGTCTGGATAGGGCCAGTTCTTCCTGGGTCGTGTTTTGACGGTCCCGCTGCCCGGCGAGGGCCCCTGGAGGGGTGCACACAGACACATTAGTACAATATGTCTTCCCGAACATATGGTACACCCATCTTGTGGAATATCGTTTCTCGAGCGGTACGGCCAGAAAGCGCCCCCCCCCCCCCCACACGACGCATATACTATAAGAGTTCTCGGTGCGCGCGTCGCCCCTGGGGGGGCGACGCGCACACACAGTGCTAGTATGTTGGGGTGCCGCCGACTGGAGGCCGAAAACAACCAAGAACTGACCACTCCAATGTTTTGGGAGCGTCGGATCTCTGTGTCCTCCGCCGCCCGCCGCCGCCGCAATGCCGCTGGCCTCCGTGTGCTCGAAGCGGGCTTCCGCCCGAATGGCGCGGAGCACGGCGGCCGCGCCGGGGAACAAGCGAACGACGTCGCGCCCGGCGCGGACTCCGTCGGCCTCCTGCGCTTAGGAGGAGGAGGAGGAGGAGGAGGAGGAGGAGGAGGAGGAGGAGGAGGAGGAGCAGGAGCAGGAGGAGCAGGAGGAGGAGCAGGAGGACGAGGAGGAGGAGGAGGAGGAGGAGGAGGACAATGAGGAGGAGGAGGAGGAGGAGGAGCAGCAGGAGGAGGAGGACGATGAGGAGGAGGAGGAGGAGGAGGAAGGAGGAGGAGGAGGAGGAGGAGGAGGAGGAAGAGGAGGACGAGGGGACCAGGAGGAGGAGGAGAAGGAGGAGGAGGGGGAGAGGAGGAGGAGGAGGAGGAGGAGGAGGGAAGAGGAGGGAGGAGGAGGGAGGGGGTAGGGAGGGAGGGAGGGGGAGGAGGGAGGGGAGGGGAGGGGAGGGGAGGGGAGGGGAGGGGAGGGGGGGGAGGGGAGGGGAGGGGGGGGGGAGGGGAGGGGAGGGGAGGGGAGGGGAAGGAGGAGGAGGAGAGGAGGAGGAGGAGGAGGAGGAGGAGGAGGAGGAGGAGGAGAAGGAGGAGGAGGAGGAGCAGGAGGAGCAGGAGGAGCAGGAGGAGGAATGAGGGGAGGAGGAGGGCGGAGAGCGGACGAGGAGGAACGGGGGACGACGAAGGAGGACGTGGACGACGAAGATGGTACGGCCGTCCCGGGTCCAAGGTGGACCAGACGTCGTCGACCGCCTAGACCGGCTTCGGACCTCTCGGCCCCTCCCTTGGTTCGCGTCTTTCGTTGTTCCTCCGTGGCACCGGGGCCTGAAATCGGCATCTCGAGGCCTCGCAGAGCACCCTGCAACGCCATCGGAACATCTACCACGCCTCAGCTGTCCCAACAACTCAATTGAGCAGGTCCCTATCGACAACCACTGGTGCAGCACAGGGGCGCCCTGGCCCCACCTGCCCCGCCTCCTCCTTGTCGCCTCGATCCCCCCACCTGCGCCTCCTTCTCCTCCTCTCCTCAAGTGTGCAAGAGCCAGGGCAAACGTGCCACTTGTTAACGAGGGCCCTGTACACTCCTTATCTCGCACGCCGTCGGGACACGTGCAGTCGACAGGAACGACAGCAGCTCGAGCTATGTGGCGGCCTCGAACAAGCTAGAGGAGCCGTGCACCCCCTAGGGATGACGAGGTGTAGTGTGAATCTGCGTAAGCCCGCACTATGCTGGACCCCTCAGCAGCCCTCGAAAGTGGCGACGGTTTCACACTCAGCATCCCCCCAGGGATGGTCAAGTCTAATCTGAATATGCGTAGGCCCGCACAATGCCGGATCCCCTGGCATCCCTCCAAAAAAGCGACGGCTTCACACTCCGCAGCCCCAGCAGGAAATAGGGGACAGGATGCAGCGGAAAAGAGGGGGAGAGAGGGAGAAAGGAGGAAAGAGGGGAGGGGACGGGAGTTTGAGACCGCGATGCTCTTTCTTCAAAGCAAGAACCCAGCGGAGGGTTGGGAACGAGTAGCTGTAGAAGAAACACAACAGCATGAACATGAACGGAACTCCGACAGTTTGTGTTTATGCCGCTTTTCGTCTTCGACCAGAAGGACACGCTAATACTATGCGCCCTCCTCGGAGGCGCCCGTTCCAATCGAACATTTAGTACAAACATCTTGTAGTATATCATTGCCCGAGAGGTATGGGCAGAAAGCGCCCGCCACGGAGCTTATACCATAAGATTTCTCGGCACGCGCGTCGCTCCTTGGGGGGCGACGCACACATAGTCTTAGCATGTTTTGGTGACGCCGATCGCAGGCGTGTCGCATGGCGGGGCGCAAGCTTAGAAGGCAACTCCTGGGAGGTCTTCTTGGGAGCGATCCAGGGCTATTGGGCCCGACCAGCGGGTCATTCAGCCAAATTGGCCCAAATTACTAAGCCCCAGATGAAGCGCGACTGGGCCGGCGTCAACAAAATCAGACGGATTTGAACGGAATCATGCTGGAGGTCGCCAGTTTTTCGACCACGGATATACCAGCGCCGATGCTGAGAATAGTGGCGATGTGCCTCGACAAAGGGCTCGCCACATGGACCAACAGAAACGGCCCAACCATGTCGGCCCAACACTCTCCCCGCTCTGTCCTTGTCGTAGGCTTGTGGAGCCGAGTTGAGCTCGAACATCTCTGGACTCCACAAGCATGCGTCCAGGTCGAACACGATGAGCCGAGGGACTCCTTGGTGACAGGATGTCAAGTTACACCCGCTTGGTCCGAGCGCATGGCCTCGGTCAAGTCCGTTTAGAGGTCAAACAGCAGCTGCCATATCAGCGATAATCGATAAGCCCACTACGTGCACCAGGGCCGACAATCCTGAAGAAACAGAGCGCGCAACAATTTCCGCTGCGCAGCGCGATGCCAATGACCAAGGGCTCGAAGCAACACGTGCAATGCATCTGTCGACCCCTACTGTGGGGAACCTCTACACGGCTTGGTGGCAACACGTTCGAATGAAGTTCAGCCTCTCTCTCTCTCTCGCTCTCTCACACACACACACACCTATCTAACCTCATCGCACACATATGCGCGCACACACACACACACACAAACCTACCAGGCCCTGGTACGCATTATAAAGAGAGCTCTCAACACTCCGTCGCAGCTCAATCATATAAGTAATGTTGGCGCCAAGCTCCCTTCTTCACTGTCAGACTTGATGATGTCAGCAACAGCTTTACAGAGCGGTTGCTAAAACACACGACCAAGCCAGAGTCGGCACCCCACCTCTGGAGATGGCCTCTCATTGCAATCCTCGGGTAGACTTCTGTGCTGCGCGGTGACCGCCGCGTGGGGTGTACAGAATTGTTGCGGTCACCATCAACATAAAAATGACACTCTTAAGGCAGAAGATCCCATCGTGGAGGGGCCACGATAGACCCCTGATCTCCGGTGCCAGGCAGCCCCCACTGGCCGTTAGAATATGCAATCGCGCAGAACCCTTCAACAGACAGGCTGCCCAGGGAACGCCAACGGCCGACCGATGGCTCGGCTCCGCGCTGACGCCTCCGAAACCTCCGAGGGGTGGCTCCACCTCTCCAGCCTGGGGAGGGCGAGTGTGGCTGACCGGTTCAGCGGGAAAGCTCCCCACGAGATGGTCTTGCTACCGCGGCGGAGTGCAGCGAGCTGGACGGGGCGGGGCATGCAAGTGTGATGTGGAAGAAAAGCATGAGATCCGAGAGGACAAACAGAGGGAGCACGCGAAGTGCATGAAAATCCCTCTGCCCGCTTTTCCCCCTATTCCAATCAAGATCGAAAGCTGCGAATACGTGTCTGGCGGCCTCCAGGCCAGAGGTGCAACAGCGCTGGCTGGGCGCGGGATGCCGAGCCGAATACGGGCACCCTTGTCGACCTCCTCGACCGTGCCGTCGCCATTGCCAGCCGCGGCCTCGGAGAGAGGCACCCACTTCGTTGTGGGCGCCGCAGGATAAGGCACAGGCGACCGATCGCCTCCCTCCTCCCCTCGCCCTGCGCCCTCTGCTCCCTCCCTCCTCCCTCTTCCTCTTCCTCCTCCTCCTCCTCCGCCCTCCCTCCTCCTCGGCTCTACGTATGCCCTCCGCCTTCTTCTTCTTCTTCTTCTCCTCTTTCTCCTCCTCCTCCTCCTCCTCCTCCTTTCCTCCTCCTCCTCCTCCTCCTCCTCCTCCTCCTCCTCCTGCCGTGGCTCGCTGATCGCGCAGAGAGGAGACAGGCGGAGAGAGAGAGAGAGAGAGAGAAAAGAGAGAGAGAGAGAGAGCGAGAGAGAAAGAGAGAGAGAGAGGGAGAGAAGATGGCGACCAGGATCTCGCGCAGCTGCGCGCGACCTCGGCGCTGTGCGCAGCTCAGGCGCGAGTCGCCACACATCTCGCACCTGGAGGTGCCTGCTTCCTATGGAGGCGGCATGGGCCACTCGGATGGACAAACTGCCAATAGCGTAAAAAAACGCAGACGAAACGGAGAAACCCGCGCCCGATTGCCGAAAAAAGACCCGTGGAACAAAGAAGCCCACGCCTATGCGTTGAGAACCCCCTCGTCCCGCGATTTCCATGTTGAAACCCGGTAGGCCTGCGATTTTGAGTTATGGCGTTTGTTGACGATTGCAATCCTACTCGGCCGCGAACGCAGTATTGAGATGCGGAGCCAAGGGGTGGCCCCGTCGAAGTAACATCCTTGGAGGGGCGCTTTGGTTCGCCAACAGCGGAATGACGAGGACGAGAGGGCGGGGAGGTCGGCAGCGAGGCACACCAGCACGCGCGCGCGCGACGGGGGCCCCCGCGGGCTCCGCAAAGACGCCCTGGACGACGAGGACGGTGGAGGGAGGAAAAGTCGGCTTCGCCGCCCCCTCGTCCTCCTGCTCCTGCTGACCCTCCACTTCATCCACCCCCTCCTCCTCCTCCTCCTCCTCCTCCTCCTGGTCCTCCTCCTTGTCCTCCTCCTGCTCATCCTCCTCATCCTCCTCTTCCTCGTCCTCCGTCCTCGGCCCTCTTCGTCTCCTGCCCCGAAGGCCCTGGCACGCTTAGGGACCCTAACAACTCACTGGTGCATCGCCACCTCTCCGCACCTCCTCTCGCGCGCCCTCGCCACTTCTTGAGCGCAGCCACCGCTTTCTCTCTCTCTCTCTCGCACACACAAATCTCGCCAGGCCCAACGCCCTCTATCGTCCTCCCTCCTCTCCACCCCCTCATCATGACGAGACGACGACAAGCCGACAGGATTTAAAGAAGAAGACGGCGCGGACGGCGACGACGACGACGACTAACCGACGACGACGACTAACCAACGACGACGACGACGACCAACCAACGACGACGACGACGACGACGACGACGACGACGACGACGACGACGACGACGACGACGACCAACCGATGACGACGACGACGACGACGACGACGACGAGCGGAGGCGGCCAAGGCAGCAGCCTCCGTGTGCCCCGGGGCGCCCGCGTCCGCGGCGGCAGGGGCGCTCATGACGCGCCCGGGCGGGGGAGTCAGCGCCCCCCCGCGCGCGGCCTCCAGAGAAGAGCGGCGACGGCGGCGGCGGCGATGACGGCGGCGGCGGCAGCGGCAGCGGCGGCGGCGGAGGCGGCGGCGAAGGGGCCCTCGCACCAGTCGCCTCCAGGTGGAGGAGGAGGAGGAGGAGAAGGAGGAGGAGGAAGAGGAGGAGGAAGAGGAGAATAATGACACGGGAAAGAACGAGGAGGAGGAGGAGGAGGAGGAGGAGGAAGAAAAGGAGGAATAATATGAGGAGGAGGACAAGGACAAGGACATCCGCATAAGGGTGTGCAGCGTCAGAGCACCTACTCAGGTGACCTACGCGCTTCTGTCAAAATCCCCTTCGATCGGTTGTGCTACAGCCTTGCCTTCTCACTAGGGCCGGCAGGGGGCATACCACGAAGTAGGAGGCTCGCTACCTTAAATCACGAGTCCCTGCGGGTCAGTGCGGGGGGGAGCGGCTGCTGGCCCTTCCGCGTGCCCTAGGGGAGGGGGCGCGCGGGCGTAGCAGGGCGCCAAAGCCAGGGGGGGAAGGAGACGACGACACGAACTCAAAAGGAGTAGAGGGGGGAGGGACGGAAGGCCCGCGACCCCAAAGTGTCGCTGGGGGGGCCGCCGGGCTGCTTATTCTACTGTTTTAATTCCGCGCTCCCCTCTCCCGCTCGGCTCACTTCTCGGTCACCGGTCATTCCGAGAGATGCCCCATGTATGGTCGCATCTGTACTCTGGTACCCTGTTGAAGTATCCCATCGTTCCCCCTCGGCGTGTATGCGAGGTAGAGCATACTGGTAGTTACGGTATATGGTAGGGCCAATGAGGAGCACACTGGCGGGCGTCCTGATGATCACTTTTTTCTCATTCGACACCCTGCAGTAGTGTACCTGTCGGTACTCAATAAAAGACTTGCCATTGCGATGGCGGTGCGAGCGCTCCGCGGTGCCCGTTCTGTCTGTCATGCGTTGCACTCCGAGAAACCTCGCTAATGCTCCTCCTGACTGCCTGCGGGCACGGCCACCTCGCAGCTTGCCTAGAGCAGCACTCCGCAAACCTCGCAAATGCTTCCTCTTGGCATACAAGCAGGCCCCAGTGGGTGCGCTCACTGGTGGCCGCTGGAGGAGCTGGCCGTAGTCGTCTCCTCCGGCTTGGGGTAGCCGACCTTTGCCGCGAAGATCTCGGTGCCATCTGTTTGCTGTCTCGTAACTTCTGGCGCTCCTTCAGCCTCTTCACTTCCTCTGGGTCCATGTTGTCCGTGGTGTTCAGCTCCTTTATGGCGACCAGCATTACTTTGTGGAGGCTCTGTTCGTCGTTCTTCGCTATCTTCAGCGCCAGCTCACACTAGCTCTGCACAATGAAGGCCTGCCTCCCTGACCTTTCCCAGTGGTCGACTGGGCACCTCGCGACGAGGTCGCAATCTTCGATCTTGTGCGTCATCGGGAAGGACGCGGGGATCAGCTCGAATAGCTCCTCTGGGCTCATCTTCTGGGCCGCGTCGAAGAACTGAAGGTGGCACTCTGGGATGGCGTCGTCAAGTTGCTGCGGTAGCCTTTCAGCAATGAGCGCTTCCAATTTGTTTCTCACTTTAAGCTCCACCATCATCGACGGCCCGCTCTTGAACGGGGGGAACTTGCGCCCGCGCCCGATCTTTGGTCATCCTTCGCAGTCGGCCCCGAACGTTCCTTCATCTTGTCCACCCATTCCCTGATGAGCACGTCCTCTGGGTGACTCCTGCGCCTTGACGAGCTGCAACCAGTCCGCCTTGCATCAGAACAGAACTGCCACTTGTCCCCTCTCGAGGTGGGGCCGGGGCCTCTCCGCCACAGCTTGTTCGGGAAGGCGAGCCCGCTTGAGCAAGCCCCCCCCCTCTTTTCCTCCCATCCAGCGCCCCCCCTGCACGCGTTGAACAGCTGCATGTTGTCGCGACACTTGTCCGCGAAGTCCAGCGCCTTGAGGAACTCTGCCTCCAAGGCCCGAAAATGTCAAAATGGTCTCCAGGCGGCCAAGATGACCTTCAAGATGCCCACGTGTTCCCCGAAGGCTTTCCCAACCGATTCGGGGAACATCAGGTCCAATACCTTGGCAGGTCTGGCCTCAACGTGCGGCCACATAGGCGATTCTAAAAAGGCAGGGGGCGGCGGTGATTCGCCGACGATTCATCGCAGGGGTGCCTGGCGTGCTGAATCCTTTCGGTTTTGGTTTTGGTTCTTTTTCCAAAAGAACTCACCCTGGGGCTTCGGCCCGTCCCGCCGGCCACCCGCAAAGATTGCCCAGGACCTCAATCCCCAAATTTTTCGCTCAAGAGGGCCTCCAACATGCCTCCAAGACGGCTAAGATGGCCCCAAAATACCTCCAAGACGGCCCAATATGCACCCAAGACGGCCTGAGATGGCCTCAAAATGGCCCAAGACGGCCGAAGAGCCCCCTAAGAGGTCTCCAAGACAGCCCAAGAGGCCTCCAAGAGGTCCTCCAGGAAGGCCAGAAGAAGCCAAAATTATTGATGTTCCTCAGGTTTTTGAAGGAGTTTGGCCTTTTCGCGTTTTCGGCCTTCCGACGGCCCAGGAGGCCCCCAAGATCGCCCCAAGATCGCCCAATAGGTCTCCAAGATGGCCCCATGACGGCCCAATAGGCCCCCAAGATGCCCCCAAGAGGGCCCCAAGACGGCCCAAGAGGCCTCCAAGACGGCCAAGATGCCTCCAAAACGGCGAAGATGGCCCCAAGATGCCTCCAACACGGCCCAAGATGCACCCAAGACGGCCTGAGATGGCCTCCAGATGGCCTCAGGCGCCCTAAGAGGCCCCTAAGGGGTCTCCAAGACAGCCCAAGAGGCCTCCAAGAGGTCCTCCAGGAAGGCCAGAAGAAGCCAAAATCATTGATGTTCCTCAGGTTTTTGAACACATGAGGCATTTGCTTCTTTTCGGCATCCAGACGGCTCAAGGCGGCCCAAGAGGCCCCCAAGGTCGCACACGAGGCCTCCAAGATGACCCCATGACGGCCCAAGAGGCCCACAAGACGGCACCAAGAGGGCCCAAGAGGCCTCGAAGACGGCCAAAATGGCCTCGAAGACGGCTAAGATGGCCCCAAGATGCCTCCAAGACGGCCCAAGATGCACCCAAGACAGCCTAAGATGGCCTCAAGATGGCCCAAGACGGCCCAAGAGGCCCCCAAGAGGCCTCGAAGACGGCCCGAAAGGCGTGCGTCCAGGAGGTCTTCCAGGAGGGCACGAAGAGGCCAAAATCATGAGTGTTCCTGAGGTTTTTGAAAAAAATTTGGCATTTGCTTCTTCTCGGCATTCCGACGGCCCAAGACGGCGCAAGAGGCCCCCGAGATCGCCCAAGAGGCCTCCAAGATGGCCCCGTGACAGCCCAAAAGGCCCCCAAGACGGCCCCAAGAAAGCCCCCAAACGGCCCAATAGGCCTCCAAGACGCCCAAGATGGCCTCTAAGAACCCCTGATATTCCCCAAGAGGGCCCCAAGACGACCCAGACAGGCCCCCAAGACGGCTTTCGACGGCGTCACACAAGCCAGGAACGCCTTAAGACGGCCAAAGAGGCCCCCAAGAAGCCCCCCAAAGGCCCCCCAAAACCTTCCAAGAGGCCCCCAGGAAGCTCCCAGGAGGCCCCAAGAGTGCCTCAAGAGGCGCCCAAGAGGCCTCCTCCTCCTCCTTCTTTTTCCTCATCCTCCCCCTCCTCCTCCTCCTCCTCCTCCTCCTCCTCCTCCTCTTCTTGCTCCCCCATGCGTTCCCCGAAGTATTTTCCAAACCGACTCGGGGAACAACTGGCCCGATAGCTTGACCAAGCTCTGGCCCAGCTGTCGGCCACAGAGGCTCTTCCAAAGGGGCAGGGGGCGGCGGTGATTCGCCGCAGACGTCTTCGATCCGCCGCCCCCTGTTGATTCATCACAGGGGTGCCCGGCGTGCTGAATCCTTTCGCTTTTGGTTTTGGTTCTATTCCCAAAAAGAACTCTCCCTGGGGCTTCGGCCCGTCCCGCCGGCCACCCGAAAGGCCGCACAAGGCAGCATAAACCACCTCAACGACCGGAACACATTCTCCAAGACGGCTCAAGATGGCCTCTAAGATGGTCACGTTGGCCCAAGATGGCCTCCAAGATGACCCAAGATGGCCTCCAAGTCGCCAAAGATGGTCCAAGATGGCTTCCAAGACGGCCCGAGAGAGTCCAAGATGCCTTCAAGTTCGTCCAAGAAGCCTCCAAGACGGCCCAAGATGGCTCCAAGATGGCCTCAGACTGGCCAAGAGATTCCCAAGAGGCCTCCAAGACGTCCCCCAGAAAGGCCCGAAACAGGCAAACATCATTGATTTTCCTTAGGTGTTTGAAGAATGTTGGCATGTTCTTCTTATCAGCTCTCCGACAGCCCAAGACGGCCCAAGAGGCCCCCAACATCGTCCCAAGAGCGCCCAAGAGGCCTCCAAGATGGCCCAATGACAGCCCAAGAGGCCCCCAAGAGGGCCCCAAGAAGAGCCCAAGACGGCCCAAGATGGCCCCGAAGACGCCGAAGATGGCCTCCAAGACGGCCAATATGGCCTCCAAGACGGCCAAGAAGGCCTCCAAGACAGCGAAAATGGCCCCAAGATGCACCCAAGACGGCCCCAGATGGCCTCAAGATGGCCTTAGACTGCGCAAAAGGCCCGCAAGAAGCCTCCAAGACGGCCCAAGAGCCCTCCAAGACGTCCTCCAGGAAGCCCGAAAGCTCGGAAACCACCTGGTCCTATAGCTCGCCCGACTCCGTGTTCCCCGAGAGCTTTCGAAACCCACTCGGGGAACGCGTGGCCCGATAGCTTGGTCAAACTCAAGCCCAACTTTCGGCCACGCAGGCGCTTCCAAAAAGGCAGGGGGGCGGCGGTGATTCGCCGTAGGCCTATTCGGTCCGCCGCCCCAGGGGTGCCTGGCGTGCTAAGCGTGTGAAGGTTTTAGTTGTTGTTAAGATTCCCCCTGGGGCTTCGGCCCAGCGCGACATATCGCGACGGCCACCCGGAAAGCTGCTCCAGACCCGGTTGCCAAGGTTGTCCTGCTCCAGATCGCTCCAAGATGACATCCAAGGCGGCCCAAGGAGAGTCCAAGATGCCTCCAAGTTCGCCCAAGAAGCCTCCAAGACGGGCCAAGAGGTCTCCAAGAGGTCCTCCAAGGACCCGAGCGCCCAAGACGCTCCAAGAAGCCTCCAAGAGGCATTCAAGGTAGCAAGACAGCCCAAGAAACCCCCAAGAGGGCCTCAAATCGGCCTACAGGGCTCAGATATCGCCCAAGGGGCTCTCACTGCCCCAACACGGCCGTGAACCGCTCCAAGATGGCACCAACACGGCCTAGAGAAGCTCTCAAGGCGGCCAGTCCCCTGCGACGCCGCAGACGGCCCCAAGAGGCCCCCAAGAGGCCCCATGAAGCCGCCAAGAGGCCACCAAAAAGCTTCCAGCAACCTTCCAGGAGGCTCCCGGGAGGCCCCGAGAAGGCCCTAAGAAGCCTTGTCCTCCTCATCCTCTGTTTCTCCCTCTCCTCCTCCTCCTCCTTCTCCTACTCTTCCTCCTCCTCCTCCTCCTCCTCCTCCTTACCGCGCGGGCGAAAACGAGGTCGGGATCGCGACCCGTCCCAATGCAGACTACTCATCGGACATGTGCTGCTCCTACACTCAGCCTTCTTCCTGCTGCGCTGCTGCGCAGGCACGGTGGCGGGGTTTACCGCAGGCGGCTGGATATGCTTCAGCGCTCGCTTGAAGACAGCAATGTCCTCGTTTGTCGGGGTTCCATCGGTCTGATCCTGCGATGTGCTCATCCCATAGATGAACACCCCTGCGGGCTGGCCGTCACCGCTGCCGATGGACTACCGTTGCCTCACCAGTGTCTGTAGGATGTACACGTCGTTCAGTTCTAATCGTGCTCATTTCGAATTGTGCTCGTTTCTACTTGTTCCTGGCCCCCTAGTGGCCAGGAAGAGGCCCAGGATAGAACAATTAGACATGAAAGGATCTTGGCCCCCAAAAAAAAATCGAAGCATTTTCGAATAATCAGAAATGAACAATGTGTATATCGTGCACCCCGTCTCGGTGGAGCAAAGCGGCCCAGCAACGGAAGATGAACGGAGATGAAAAAGGCTCTTCGGATGATGTCCGTGTGGACCTGGAGGGTCTTCTCAAATCCAGCAGTAACTGCTAGAACTGTTATCCCATCAATCCCAATCGAACTTTGCATCCCCCACTCTTTAGGAACGTCTTGGCACTTCGGCGTGCGTGACAAATGGTTGTGCAAGTGGATGAGGTACTCCGGCTTGATCAGCTGAACGTCCTTGGAGCACAAAGGATATGTCTAACATCCTTTGTTGCTGTGCCTGATGTTCACCGCGTGTGAAGATGGGTGGTGGGACTCGCTGTCGAACCAAGCCGACTTCTTCAGACACGCCCCCATGGCAGCAAAAGCCAATGACCCTGCAGATTGCTTGACACTGCGGCTTGGACAAGAACTGGATCCAAAATGGCTACGGATCACCTTTGGTAACCCATGAGATCTGCGGGCGGCCGGATGAAATCTGGACTTGCAGCCACCTGGTTTACAATCACAAGGAGGAAATTGATCGAACTTCTAGACACCCTAGACGACTCATGCAAAATACAGTCTCCCCATTATACGAAAAGTGCGGTAAGGCGTCTGCCAGTGTGCAACACCAGCATCGTGAAGCAGGGCAAAAGACACATGGCCACACCCGCACAGACGCACACACACACACATACGCACAGCAGAGGAAACACCGATGAAAGCTAGGCGGGAAAGAGAGAGAAGCGACCACGTGGATGTATGTATGGTGGTTTCGCCCGGCAACGTGCACCCGGGAGGCCACTGGATGGTAAGCATTACCGAAGACAAGACAGAATCACCTTTGACACGCCGTCCGACCCACAAGCCACAAGCCCCTCCTTTGGCGCACCGTCGAGGTCGCCGCATCGCTCGCTACCGAGCTCATGGAGGACTGGGCGAGCGCGCGCGCAACAAAAAAACATAGACCTACAAGTACACGGGACCCCGAGCGAAAGCCGCGGCGCCTGCGGAGCGCATTCCTGCAATGATCAAGTTAACGAGAAGAGAAGCTGCTGAAACGTGGGGCAATACGGTCTCGACGTCCAGCCGGCTGCGGCACCACTGCAAGCATTGCCACGGCAAGCCCACTGCAAGGGAGAGGTGGAATTTTCCCTCGTGCTCGACTCGCCCCCCAACTTGCACGCACGCCGATCGGAACAAGCTGCGTGGATGCGAACAGAACGTGCAGTCCAATCAAACGTGCAACCGCGGGAGAAGGCCACGAGACTGCAATACGAAACACGGACTACGCCTGGTCTGCAGCTAGCCCCCCTAAGAATCTGATTGCGCATGAGCCATCAGCACCAGAACTGCACGCAACGGCGTACACCAGATAATCGATCGCACAATGACCCGTGATGCAACGAGCACGTACGAAACAAAACGGCCGAGCAGGAACACGGGATGGGACACCTGACTAGACAAGACAAGAAAGCGGACGAAGGGTGCCAATGCTACCCAGAGTCCTGAACCTCAGACTTGGGGACGTTTTGACCTCCATGCCAAAGCTCAAGGACAGACATGATACAAAGACCTCCAAGCGGAAGGCAATCTAACGTGCGAGAAGCATGAGGCGGCAGAGAGCTTGGCCGCGATCATGTCAGCAGCAACTCTTGGTCCTGCTGGCTGCGGTCGCCAATGTCACAGAAATCTCTTCAGAAATATGTCTGGATGCAATGCTACTGCAGCTTCTACCGGGGGCACCGTGGGATGGTCGTTGTCCGTCGGAAAGAAGATCGAAGAATGGCGGGTACATCCTCGACAAATCGGCGTCTCTGAGACGGACCCTCCGAAGCTCGCAAAACAAATTCATCCCTCCTGGACTTCGGGCAAAGAAATCCACTGATACGGATAGTAGAGTCGAATGGACTCCGTGGCTGACCCATCCGTGATATGTTACATTTGTCAGCGCGCGTCCCTGGCGTGAACATTAACGGCTGTCATTTTCATTTGAGCTGCACCCCTGAACTCTTACGACTCTGGTCTTTGTGCTACCCCGGCAAGCTTGCCAATTGCAGACTTTCTCATCCGTCTCGATATTTCTAGGGGCCAAACGGTTCCGATGGAAGCTTCTAATTGATGGCTCCCACTATGGGTGATTCCTTCGAGCGACGATCATGAGTTGAATGGCTCCTCCGAGCCTTTCCTGTTTGGAGGATTCCCACTGGCGGTTCCTACTGGTGGCTCTTACAAGCGATGTCTAAAGGCTGCTCCCTGCGGTGATTCAGATGGCTGCAATGTGTGAATCGTGAGCCACAATAAGTCAAAAGCGGAAAGCGGATGGCGATTGAGAGGGAAAGTGAAGCAAAGAGGGAGGGGGGAATAGTATGTAAGTAGTGTCGTTCCGTTGAGAAGAAATGATACTGGAGAAAAAACATCAATCATAATCTTTTCAGGGCTGTCGGGCTGTAGGGCTATAGGGCTATGGGGATATAGGACTACAGGGCTACATTGGCTATATGGGCTATTGGGCTAGTGGGCTACTGGGTTATAGGGCTATAGAGCTATAGGGCTATAGGGCTATAGGGCTGTAGGGCTATAGGGCTGTAGAGCTGCAGGGCTATTGGGCTATAGGGCAAGGCTATAGTGCTAGAGGGCGATAGAGCACCCAGGCACCCGAGCACCCAGGCAGCCCCGGGCACCTCCGGGCACCCCCGGGCACCCGGGCGTGCGGCGAAAATCGGCGGCAAACCTAACCTAACCATATGAAACCGCTAGGACCCCTACAGAGGCAAGCTTTGATTGGGAAAGTAGGTCGAGCATGCAACGTCGCGATACGTAAACGGTGAGGTCGTGAATGGTAGTCGTGAGTGGTAGGTCGCAGAATGTTCCCCAAAAATTGTCTGCACTCATGGGTTCTTACTTATTACCGGATGAATTGGTATCCGTCGACGGGGTTTGGACTTGAACCTGGCGGTCGCAGAATTACAGCCCCCTCTTCGCTTCCATACAATATGGTCGAGTCCCACTCGACGAGGTTCCACCCGACAGCTTACCAACCGAGGGTGTGCCGCCCGATAATCCCACTCGATAGGGCCCCACCCCGTCGGTTGCAGGTCGCCAGTCGTACCCGCGACCGTGCCGCTGGCACGAGTTGCAGTGTCCTCAGGTCCCTTGTAGTCCTCAGTCCTCAAGAAAACTGTCCCTTGTAGTCCTCGGGTCCCTTGTAATCCTCAGGTCCCTTGTAGTCCTCAGCCTGGACCCTACATTCTTTAATTTCCTGCGGCTCCCCGCGGCTCTCCAGCGGTTCCCAGCGTCTAGTCGCATGACTTCTTCGGGCCTACGAGGGCCCGAAGACTGGCTCAGATTGCCCCAGGAGGCCTTTCAGACGGTACAAGAGGGCTCCGGGTCGCCCAACGATCGGTCCAAGACGCCCCAAATGGCCCCCAGACAGTCTAGGATGCCTCCAAGACGCTCCAACAGGGCCCAAAGAGCACGTCCAAGAGGGCCCCGAGGCGCAAATCAGTGATGCACTCCTGGGTTTTTGAAGGAGTTCGTGTTCTCGCCTTTTCGGTCTTCTGGCCCTCCAAGACGCTCCAAAACGTCCCACGAGGCCCCCGAGATCGCTCCAGGGCGGCCTAAGAGGCCCCCAAGAGGCCCCAAGACGACCCACTAGGCCTCCACGACGGCCCAACAGGGCCCCACGACGACACCAAGGGGGTGAGCACGGATTTACTTTTCGCGCCCGATGCCCCAAGAGGGCCCCTGAGACCGCCAGCAGGCCCCCAAAAGGGCCCCCAAGAGGCCACCAAGAGACCCAAAAGAGGCACCAGAACGGCCACTCAGAGGCCTCAAAACTGCGGCTGCGATGGTTCCCAAAAGACCCCAACAAGCAGCCGTGAGGACACGGACTCACAACCCCAGGCACAGTGGCGTGTTGGGCCGAAGACCATTAGGTACTGCACCCTGTGTAGCATTTCTATGCATTTGCAACCCGCACATTCCAATCCATTCTGAAGGATCCCACCTCATGTGTTGCACTGAATAAATAGAAATACATAAACATTGCACGTCGTGAGTTACATCCCGTGCATGTCACCCCGAATGCTGCACCAGGTATGCATGCTAACCAGAGGTTCCACACCGCACGCACACACATACATACATACATGCATGCAGACAGACAGACAGACAGACAGACAGACAGACAGACAGACAGACAGACAGACAGACAGACAGACAGACAGACAGACAGACAGACAGAAAGACAGACATACATGCATGTGTAGATGTATGTGCACTGTAAGTTTCCCATTCGTTGCGCTCCGCATTCTGCATCCAATAGAGTGAGCTCCGAGTGAGAAAACAGGCAAGTACTTATCCCAGATATGACACCCCCATCTATTGAACATAATCCTATTTCGGGCCCGCGAACCAGTATCATAGGTCGAGGGGTGAGATGGCAGGTCGCAAAACGTGGCAGGGCGGAAGAAAGTGAATGGCAGTGTGCAATAAATTTGCCACCAGCATGTAAGTATACACTGTCGCGGAGAAGGAAGCTGACGGCGAGAGGGCGGGATGAAGAGAGAAGCAGGATGGAGGACGCAACGCCCGAATGCGACATTAATAAGGGACGTGCCCAACCGATCTCCGAGTAGCGGCAATGGCAACGGGCTCATCCAAGACGAACGAACACTTGAAAGGGCGCGCTGTCCCTTCTGCGAACTACACAGGGGCGCTATGCATTGCGCGCTCCAAGAAACCTATGTAAGGCGACCCCGAAGGAAGGTTCATTGCAGTCGTAAGGCGCCATCTTGCTGGAACGTCAAGGAGCGCACGAAACTGCCGACAGTTGCGCACTGGTAGCGCCCAGAGAGATCAACAGCTTGGGGCGCGGCCAAGGAAAGCGGCGAAGGTTGGACCGAGGACGCAAGGATGCAAGGGTACGCTTGGGAAAGTTGCCCATCCTTGCTAAATGGGTTGACTGTAGCTCACCCGTGGTGGCGACCCGGGTACACCCGCGCCCCGATTGTAATGCGATTGAAAGAAAAAGCTTCGCAACAGCAACGCCCGAACTGACAGAACCAAAGAGTCCCCTCCTCACCCCCACCGGCCTTCACATTGGCAAATGTTACGTTCGAGATGCTGGGTTCAAGATTTTTCGGGCCCCACTTCTCACGTAACGCTTGTGCAATATTACAGCTGGGGGGTGGGGGGGGTCATGCGAAGTGGCTCCTAAACATTTGTTGCACAATTTGTTCCTTCAACGGTAACTATTCTGGCGTAGGACCGCACTCCGCTGGACCTCCCATACAGGAGCTCACGAAGGTGCCCGCTCACGCTGGCAGCGTTCCTTCCAGGAGTGCCCGACAGTGCAGACAGCTGGGCAGGTGGCAGCGCCGAGAGAGGGTACTGATAGTTTGGGTCTGCGTAGCTCTCACTCGTCTAGAGTCCAGAGCTGTCGGCACTTTCGGGAGCTACTGGAGGGTTTCGTTTTCCGGGAGCTCCCGAAAGCGCCGACAGCTGGGCAGGTGGTAGCACCCAGTGAGGGCATCAATAGCTTGGGTCTGCGTAGCGCGTCACTCCGCTGGACCTTCCAGGAGCTCCCCGAAGAGCCGGCAGTTGGGCGAGTGGCAGCACCCAGTGACGGCATTACCGGCTTGGGTCTGCGTAGCGCGTCACTCCGCTGGACCTCCAAGAGCTCCCGAAAGCGCCGACGGTTGTGCAGGCGGCAGCGCTCCGCGGAGGGAAGGCGAGGAATAAGCGAAGAGGAAGCGAAGAAGAAGCAGGGATGCGGTGAGAAAGAGGTGAGGCGGGAGGCGCGAGCGAGGAGGGGAAGGTATAAAACGAAGCCAGGCGGGAAGAAAGGGAGGAGGAGGAGGAGGAGGAGGAGGAGGAGGAGGAGAGGAGTCGCAGTTCTCAATTCAAAACGAGGGCCTGGCAAAAAGAAGACTAGGAACAGATGCAAGCATACACAGGGACTCTCTACCCTTGGGACCCTCTCGCCACATCCATCCCTATAGCGATGTAGCTTAATTCGAATCCCGTCCGTGGACAGCGACTGGACTGCTCAAGGTGTCAGCCATCGCAGTCAGATCTTTGTGGAGATCTCATGCTCAACTACGTGAAGGTCCGACCGAGCCCGAGGCGAATCCACGCACCTATGGAGACTATTATAGCACGCGTGCGGGGGACGCGATTCTTCCTCTCGACACCGACTACGTGCGACGTGCTGGGGTTGATATCTGGCGTCGTCGCCATCATGCACAACCCTGCTGTCAAATCCACCCCAACATGACCTGCGGGCGTAAAAAATCATGCGGAATGTTCAGCGCGTTCAAGCACGGGCACCATGTTACAAAGAGAACATCGGCTACCGCGACATGTACCCCCCCCCCCGAATCATCCGAACAACGAACAACGCTCGGCAATCCTCTTGTTGCGTGATCGCATAGTTCCGTGCGTCGGAGGAGGCATCATTCCAGCTATCATCTGCATCTGCATGTTGGAACCGCCATAGCAGGAGCCTGGTAGAGGGACCGCGCGCTGCACAGACGTGCAAAGCAGGAACCAGGGAAAAACATGTGGGACATGATGTATCTACATACAGAGAGGAGAGATGGAGAGACAGAGATAACAAACACAACGAGTGAGATTGGTGTGCACACTCGTTACAGCCGTGTACCCATGTATAGAATTATGGAAGCGCTGCGTGCAGGTATGGTATGACAATTAAGCGTGTAAGCAGAGAGCAAGAGAGAGAGAGAGGAAAAACGACACACTGACGAGGGAGGCAAACGGGAAGTTACCACGAGAGAGATCAAGCGAGGTATGGGAAAAGGGGGAGGGACGGAGAGAGGGGAAGAGAACGACAGAGAGGGAGGGTACATATATACATGTATGTATGCATGCATGTAGAGAGATAACGAAATAACGGCAGAGAGAGAGAGGGAGAGACAGAAAGCGAGGGAGAGAGAGAGAGAGAGAGCGAGAGGAAACGATAGAGAGAGAGAGAGAAAACGAGAGAAACCAAACAACCAGAGAGAGAGAGAGAGCCAACAAACAAAACACAAGCTGGAGATACGGATAACGATCTGCACGTACATACATACACATACGTATGCCAGCCAACGTGGACCCCAATCGGTAGGTTCTTGCATCATACGCGGTGCAGTTTATGTGGTACAATGTATGCGATGCAACCTGTGTGCTGCAACATACGCGGTGCAATATATGTGGTGCAATCTACGCGGCGCAACCTACGTAATGCGATCTACGCGGTGCAATATATGTGGTGCAATGAACTTTTGTTCGCAATGAGTTGTCCACTCCACTGCTCGCGCAAACATCCCACCCACCCACCCGCAACTTGGTTTGCAAAATCTCTTAAGCCCGTGACGGCGGGTACCAAATGGCACTTGGCAGCGACAGCGACGCCGACGACGACAGCGACAACGACGCCGACGACGCCGCCGACAACGACTATGACGACACCGACGACGTCTCCAACGACCTCAACGACGCCGACAACGACGACGACACCGACGACGACGACGACCCCGACGTCGACGACGACGACGACGATGACGACGCCGACGACGACGACAACGACACCGACGACGACGACGACGACGACGTCAACGACGCCGACGACGACGACGACGACGACGGCGACGACGACGACGCCGACGTCGACGAAGACGACGACGACGCCGACGCCGAAGACGACGACGTCGCCAACGAAGACGACGACGAGGGAGGAGGGACGACGACGACGGCGACAACGACGACAACGACGACAACGACGAGGGAGGAGGGAGGACGGCGACGACGCGAACGACGAAGACGGAGGAAGGACGGCGACGCCGACGACGACAACGACGAGGGAGGAGGGAAGACGACGACGACGACGGCGACGAGAAAGTTTGGCTTCAGCATGGACTTCATGATGACCACGCTGGATATGCGAATCACATCCGTGACGATGAAGGGACATCGAGGGAGAAGGACCCGTCGGTGCGCCGTACCTGCAGGATGAGGGAGTCCAGCGTGCAGGCCAAGTCGAAGATCTTGGTGTCCGCGATCTTGCTGCGCCTGGTTCCACAGGGCCAAAACAAACGTCGCTGCAGAGGGTCAGCGGGACGATGCACAGGTCGAAGATCCCGAAGTCCGTCGCACTGCCAAGCGAGATGGTCAAGCGTTCTGTGCGGATGAGAGCACCATGGGCAGCCACCCAAAAATGGCTGGCCCACAGCAGCTGCCCGCGCCATCGGCGATACCATGGCACCCGAGAGCACCCTGACCGCCTGTCTAGTATTGATGGTAAAGAAGCACTGCATGGACTTGATACGCCTCTGGTCGTAGGCGGTCCTGTCCACGCCGTCGTTCCTGAGGTAAACGGCCTCGCGGCGCGTGCCCTCGATGAAGAGGCCGAACTGGTGGCGGCGCCATCCTTCACGAAGAAGGTGAGCGAGCTCCATGGGCCGCCGCCAATCACGATGATTCTTGTTGAGGGTGAAGCGAAGGTTGCCATCCGTGTCTTCGCGATGACGCCACGTCCACGGGGTCGCCGTAGGAACCCAACCCGACCATTCCAGGTGGTTGGTGATCTCCTTGGCGAAGCCGCTGTTCCAGTCGAGCCTCCGCGAGAAGTTCGAGGCCATTCACGTCCTTGCCGACCACTCGGGCGAGGGCGGTGATGGCATCCTGTTGAGCTCGATAGACAAGACAAAGTCGATGAACAAAGAGCAAGTTGCGAAGTGGTGGATGACTCTGTAGAGGAGGGTGAACCACTCGCTGTATCGCGCCACGTAGTAGACGGCCTTCACACCTCAGCAGTCGCTGCTCCACGAAGCCGTAGGAGGACTTACTCAATGGGCCGGCAGCGATGAGGAGGCCGCGCTTCCTGGTGTCATGTGGGAGAGCTCGGGCTTTGGCAAGCTGCATCGCCGCGACCCGAACGCGCTTCTTCTCGTAAGGGGCAAAGGGCACCTTTTTTTTTTCCACCTGTGATCTTCGAGCCAAGCACTCGGACGCACGGGCCGATGGCGTTGGGGTCGATCCCTCGCCGTTGAAGACGGCGGCGTCCAGCAGGATCTCGATGCATCCACTGGGTCTTTGCCTTGTTCTCCTTCAAGCCAAGGAGGGCGCCCCAAGAGTCCCAGAGGGCACCCGTAGCGACCATGGCCTCAAGGTCGAGAGACTCCCAGTTCCTGTCGTCCAAGAACATCTGGAGGTGCACCTGTGGAAGATCTTGGCGGATATGGATGCACGGCGCAAGCAGTGCAGCACATAACGCCAGCGGGCTCCACGGATCGCCCTGCTGTAACGAAGCGGAGACACGTTGTGCTTGGGGCGCGGTGGCCCCTCCATATTGAAGCCGCCTAAGCTGACGGCGCCAGTTCGAGAGGAGCACGGCGGCCATGTTGCTTGGGAAGCCCAGACGTTCCATAGCAAAGACAGCAAGACGCGGGTCCAGCATGTCGAAGGCAAGCGAGTAGTCACGCGAGCATACATAGCACCCCTCAGAGGCCGCCACTGCAGCAGCAACAGCACCTTGGTGAGCTCCAGCACCTCGACGGGCGCCAATCATGTTGTCGTCCCACCAGGCGGCCTGCCATTGGCGAGAACTGGTGCATCTGGCCTGCACGAGGTCCAAGCACGGTACCAGACGGACATGATGCTCAGCGGCCGCATGTCGGTAACTTCGAAGATGTTGGACCCGTCCGCTGGCTCGCACTTCGGCAGGTGGACCTGACGGTAATGAGACCAAGCTTGAGGAAGGACGGCAAGCGACTCGAAGATGTTCAAGAGGTGGGCGAAGGACTTGGCGGCGCACTCAGCATCACAAAATTCATCACCACTCCAACCGTCAGGCCCTGCAGCAGAGCCCGACTGTTTCCGCATGGCCTCGACGATGGCCAACTCATCGATGTCCTCCCACTGCTGCTCGGAAAGCTCAGGGAGGTAGCGAACCAAGGCGGCCTTGCACTCCTCGGTGGGGGAGAGATCCCGGTCCCAGATGGCGCGCCATCGCTTGGCAAGCATGTCCAGGGACTCGACGGTCGAGGTGGCCACCGCGCCGTTGTGCCTGAGGACGAGGTCCTTGGGGGGGACGCCACGAAGCCACGCAAAGGTCGCCTTGTCGGAGGCGAGCAGCTTCTTCTTCCACTTGTCGATCCTGTCGCTGCGGTGCTGCGAGACGAGCGCATAAAGCCGCACCTGGAGATCATCAGCAACGCGTCGCAACAACTGAATGCGCGCGAGCTTGCCCATGTAGCTGAACTGTTCGAACTCTGGGATGCCCGATCTGGGCTCTTTGAGGTTCTGAATCAAGTTCAGTGCCTCCGTGCTCCTGGCCTGCCCGTGCTCTTCGAGGAAGAGGAGCCTGTTGATGCGGCCGAGGGCGTGGGAGAGCGTGCTTTCCTGAACGGTCGAACGCCAAGTCGAGCGAGCCGAGGTTGGCGAAGGACGAAGATGAAGGGCGCCTTTGGGAAGTATAAAACGCCGCTGACCAGGAGCAGCCGCAGCGAGATTGCGGCGGCGCTTCCCTGAACCTCGATGATCCATTGGCCAATCATTCCATGTCTTAGGCTGAGCGGTGAAGCTGTCCAGGGTATGCTTGACATCGCAATCCTCCTCAACGGTGGTAACCAGCATGTCGATGGCTGCAGAGAGAGTCGCCTCCAAAGATGCTTGCAAATCATTCCAAATATCGCCCACCCAAGTCTACGCCTCATCCGAGCCAGGCTCATGAGGGCAAGAAATGGTGTCAAAGTGGCCGGCAGGACCCGAGCCGCCGACGCCTTTCCAGAGCTCGGAGGTCACCTCGAACCACGAGCCAGCAGGCACTTTAGCTGGCCTGGCGAGAGCTTTGGTGGAGGCGGCACGCATCTCCACAACACATCCCTGCTTCGGCTTGGCGAGGCTGAAAGACAAGATCTTGTGACCGGCGATCTTGGCGGTACCGAAGTGGAGGTCGCTGACTGGCATGCCGAAGGCGATGGCGAAGTCAACGCAACGGGCATGGAGTTTTGCCCTCTCCTCCCAGCGTGTAGGTACATAGAGACCTTTTTTCCCTGAAGAGCGTGAACGGCTATGAACTCTGATGTGGGAGAGATTCCATCTGGAGTAGCGTTCCAATCTCCAGCAGCCACCCATGAGGACGCATCGTGGAGGGAGGCGACCTGGAAGATGTCGTCGATGTGACCCTGGGCGTAGCCATGACCAGGGGGACTGTACGTGTTGAAGACGATGAGGCCAGCGATCCAAGTGGCAACGATCTGTCCGTCATCAGTCGATCCCATAGAAGCTTAGAAGCGAAACTCTGCGAGACGAGGGTAAGGGCACCTCCCCGAAGTCTGCCGTCAGCTGCATGCAAAGATGGAGCCCAGTAAGCACGGTAGCCGTGCTTGAACGAGAACGAGCGGAACCTCGCGAAGTCCTGGACAGACATGGCGATCTCCTGCATCATGATGATGTTGACGCCATCGTTCCTGGCGATGTCGAAGCCGAGGTAGACAGCACC